AATGATATGAGTTTATTTCCATTTTTGAAACTTTATTACACAATATACAATAACAAGTTTAACATCATTTTTACAAAATCAACTAACAATGTTGTAAAGATGCAGGAAATGTCAAACAAACACTTTTACGTATCTTATTACTTAAATAATAAGGCTATTAACATGCCTTAGAATTAAATATGAGGAAATCTGAGGAAATGTGAAAAAACAGCATAACTTCTAAAATAATGCCCCGATTATGCTGATTTTCGAACTCAACCTGCGTTTTAGTAAGACTGACCATTCCTGTGAGTTTAATGACAATTGGGCTTTCTGTTTTTCTTATATTGTGTTTACAGTGTTGCATATATGCTGAACAATGAAAAAACCGTATAACTACTAAAATAATGGCCCCATCATGCTGATTTTCGAACTTGACCTGCGTTTTATGAATATTCATCAGCTCTGTAAATATAAAGCCAAAAAGTAAAACTGCCTTCCACTTATCGTGTTTACAAGGCGACGGCATCGCCGAGTGCACGGCGACGGCATCGGCATCGGCGACGACAGACGCAGGTGATGGCAATATGTACAGACACATCTGTGTCTGTACATAAAAAGGGGAGGGGTCTATGATGACAGACTGTCAAAGAGGAGGGGCATGTGTTCATAAAAATCATAGTAGTGATGCCCTTAGTAAATCAAAGATTTTTGATTTGAGAGACTATCCCTATCAGGACATGACAATTGATGATTTACATTAGGGCTAGTACGCAGTTATCCTTTCATCTCTGAAAGTAAATCCTTAGACTTGAACTGAAGTATCAAACCACTTAACCTAGACAGAACCAAATCATTGACTGTATATTTACTATTTACCTGGACTTGGGTCAATACTGGTCATCAGGTCCAGTTGTGGCCTGAGTTTGGCAAGGTTAGCTGGATCCCCTGTCCTCTGCAGAGCTATCACCAACTCATTCACACTCTGGGCAAATGACTGGGGGGTCTGGAGCTGTAAAAGGTATATATATATATATATATATACAGGTATTCATGACATTCTAGAAACTTGTGGACAATAACTACAGTTTGGAGCTGTAGTCAATATATATATATATATTTACAGGTTGCAGGTATTGAAGAATTTCTAAAATCTTGTGGCAAATAACTAGATTTTGAAGTTGTAGTCTAAATGTACACACTCTTGTCAGGCTAATTATTTCTATTAAAAGACCTTGGACACACTTTACAGATTATCCAAAAAATTTGACAAATATCAAATTCAATTGTTTGCCTACTACAAATATTATGCCAAAGTAATTTCTATGCTGCCACATATACATACACTGTCAAGGGAGAAGAACTGAGGATAGTCTCTACCTTGTCAATAATAGATTGCATGTGTGACTTGTGTCCGGCGTCCCCATACAACAAAGAGGACCACTGCTCTGGGGCGATGCGCAGTCCAGCCTCCGTGGCAATCTGGACAATCTGGGAGTCGTGCTCGCGGCGCAAGGCATCATAAGTGCGAAACTCTTCCTTCAGCTGCATTAGTGAGGACTCATCATCCCTTTTTGTGACCTGGAAATGAGTGAAGAAAATCAGAAATTTTGCAACCATTTACAATGGGCCAGTGTTGGCAAGTGCATTAAACTTTTGACCATATCACTACATATATAGGGACTTACATCATTCAAAACTGCACTCACTAAAATTCAAAATAATCTTACTGATATCATCAGGAGCAATATAGTTTAACACAGGACACAAAATCTAAACATAAATAGAAAGAAAGAAGAAAGAAAGAAAGAAAAAAACAGGAAATCCCTTTGAGAGCACCCCATGTAATCTACAGCCAAGTGATTGGGTTAGAATTTTTCCGGTTTGAGAGAGTGCCCATGGGCGTTAAGATCCCTTAAGAAACATCATAACTAAAAGTGTTATCAACTTACCTTGAAGCAAGAGGCCCTGTATAACAGCTGGACCACATGCCCAATGGCCGTCTTGGAGGCTTGAGGAAACTGAGTCTCCAATCTCTGAACAACAAACAGTACCAGCACCTTTCTGGAGAGGGCAGAGCCATTCTCTAAAGCCAGGAGGATGAGCTTCAGAACTTCTTCCTGCATGGCTGATAAAGAAAAAAAAAATTCCTTAAACATGCAAATTTAATTTATTTTCACTGGAATGTTCAAATTTGTTGTAAATTCAACTGGTTAGTTATTGAAAGCACAAATATTTAGTAAAATTTTAGAATAATTACACGAGTTGTCTCTTAATAAAACTATACTGCTTAAAGATACTTCATTATGCTGCAGATGTGTCTTTTATCCTTTATAAAGTCAGAATTGGAATATATATAACCAACAATCGTAAAATGTAAGATAACATTTAGACATAAAAATACAAATTTGAAACATTTTAAAATGCATGTAATACACCTGAAATAATTTTCAACACATCATCAACAATAACTTTCATTCTTCATTATAAGAAATAATTTTGTTTAAATGCGTAAACTTACCAGGTCCAAGAAACTGGCAGCCTCTGGCGCGTACAGCAGCCCATAGATTGGCTGACAACTGCTGAGGATTCTGGTGCAGCAGAATGAGCTCCGTCACAGTACGGTCACCCAGAGAACGTGCAGCGCGTAATGCACGTGCACGTCCTTCTTCCTCTACCAGCTGGCAGTTGACGAGGATGACCAGTTTTCTCTGCATGGGTCTGCTCAGAGTTCCCAGGGGTGCTGGTAGAGAGGTGTTGTCTGAAGTAAAATAATATCAAGGCCTTAAAATATGATCACATTTTTACAAGATTACTGCTCCATTTCAGTGACTCTTTAAAGTAACAGCTAGTTAATGTGTTGTTGATCTAAAGAAAACCGATGCTACACAGGAAGCTACGTGAAAAAAAATTATGTAAAAAAGGTCATCAGCATCCCCCTTACTTCCAGCCTTATTATTCTGTGTCCCAGTCACATGGTGAAGATACCCAGCCATGTCCTCTATACACTTCCTGGAGGTCTTGAAATGGGACACGTTGGGCCCAAGTCTGCTCAGTACGCCATCTTCATTCTCGTCCAGTTTGACCCCCAGTAGTTTAAGCAGGGCAGTGTTGCTGGGCAGACGATCCGCCGGCTGACTGACCAGGGACTGCTCAAAGGGGCACTTATTCTGATGCAGCTGCTTCAGGCATGTTCTGCAGATAGTGTGGCCACATCCTGAAATGTATAAGACAGTGTTCAGAACAAACTCATCTGCAGACTAACAGATCCAAGGACTAAACATGGCTGACTTACTTAAAAGTGTAGCCTAATTAACTGATTGTCTACCCGCCTCCACACGTGCTATGCTGCAGGTCGCCTAGCAATTTAACCTCAGAGTCAAAATTTAATGTTTAATGGCATGTGTGGAGGCACGGAGACTATCAGGGAATTAGCAGCATCGCTTTTTTGTGGGATTGGCCATATTTAGCCAGCAGATCAGGAGGTCTGCAGATCATCTGTTCCAAATGCACTCTAAGACCATGTTTCGTATTATGTACTTAATTGAAGCGAATGGCATAGATCTGTACAACACAGTGGATTGAACTTTCATGGGAAGCAAACTTCTACATTAATACACTTACCTGACACATACAGTTTCAGATTAAATTTGAAAAAAAATTTGCTGGTACAAAGAATATTCAATTTGACATTTTTCAAGGTGTTATGTTGCCTGCCTGCATAAACCTAGGTAGGCTGATGATTCTTGTGAAAAGAGCTCATAACTCAAGTATGGAATAATATGTATTAAAAGAGATTTCCTAGTACTTAAGTAACTTTCTACTTATTCAGCTAAAAATGGGTTAAGCTAAAGCTGACAACTGATTAATTTAAACTTATGAAACTTTTAAAAATTCAAAATGTCAGTAAAATACGCACATATTCATTGTTACATGGTATTTGTGTTATAAAAATAATCACTGGACATGACAACTTACCTAAACTAACGGGGATGTTATTTCTTCCATTAAAGTCATTAAAGCAGACAGGACAGGTAAGAAATTCTGTCCATTGCGGCGCTTGCACTGGCATACTCAATTATGCTCAAACATGAAAGAATTTTAATAATTTCCTACCAATTTGGTAGATATAGACTCTGGGATATTATTGGCTCTGCTTCACAGCCTGAAAGAACAAAACATTAAAAATAAAACAAATAATACTAGCAGGACAACAGCTCAAGGCAGGTGGTGATGTGCCTGTGAAAATCTGCTTGGCACACACACACACACACACACACACACAAACACCCACACACACAAAAAACGAGAGAGCTGTGAGAAAGAAAGGCAGAGAGAGAGACAACATTTTCTATATCTTCCCTAGATTTATTGCGGATAAAAATGTCGCCAACTTTTACGTCGTTTTGAATCAAAAAGTTTTCATTTAAATTCAATAAAGTTCCACTTTCTTGTACATGTTGCTATCCCCCATAGCGCATTAGGTTAAAACTAAAATTGATATCACCAAGATTATGTCATATAGAAGTATCATTTTTATGTTCCCACAAGAATGATTATGTTGACCCAGTTATGTTATCTAATGTTATAAAAATGTTATTTAAAAAACCTCCCAATTGCAGTCAAGTTGGCTCCAATGGAGACACGCCATCCTCTACTCCGTTTGATGTAACTGATTTAACTATACACATGCACTGTAAAAACAGTGTTTAGCTCCTAAACACATTTCTAAGCGCCTGTTTTGTCTCACTTTTTCGACGCGTTTAGCTCCTAACATGCTTAGCTCCTTAACATGTTACACGCTTGTGTTTAGCAGTATGACGCGTTTGACGGCTTATAAATGTAGGGTGTATTTGTTTAACTTTTGAGTATCAACTGTTTTGGTCGCACACACGCGCGCGCACGTACACACACACACACACACACACACACAC